ACAGAGATCCTGGGGGGGGTGGGAGGAAAGAGGGGGGCCCATTTTGGATGCTCCTGGTATGGGGGGGGAGAAGGCAGAGGGGGCCGAGAGACACAACTCACATCAGCAGCAGGACCAGGAAGTTGGCGAAGGGCGGAATGGCGATGAGAGCGACGGGGACGGCCTTGAGGACATCCCTGCGGAACTGCAGAGCGCCATCAGAGGGACGCGAACCATCCAAGCCCCCCCTTCCCACCCCCCCAACACCGCCCAAGGCCCCCCCCCAGCCCCCTGGAGCAGCACCCACCTGCCGCAGCCGCTCCATGTCCCTGTAGTTCAGCTGCGCGGCGCTCAGCCCCTGCCGGGCCATCGCCTGTCGGATCCGTCGCACCTCCCTGGCGTCGGCCAGCAGCGACTCGAGCCCTGAGGGACACACGTGGCACCAGCAGAGCCCCCTCCCCTCACAGCCCCCTCCCCTCACAGCAATGCATATCAGGGGTCTGGGGAGACCTAACTGATAGCTGGGAGTCTGGAGGGGATCCACACGCAATACCTGCAGGTCTCAGCCAATAACTGGAGGTCCACATCTGGTCCCTGGGGGTCTGGAGGGGTCTAACCAACTCATGGGGGGGCCTAGCTGATAACTGGGGGTCTCAGAGCCCCCTCCCCTCAGAGCAACGGGGGGTCTGGGGAGGCCTAACTGATAACTGGGAGTCTGAAGGGGGTCCACATACACTATCTGCAGGTCTCAGCCAAAAATTGGGGGTCCTTATTTCGTACCTGGGGAGTCTGGTAGGGCCTAACTGATTCCTGGGGGAGGGGGCTGGAGGAGCCTAGCTGATACCTGGAGCCCCCTCCCCTCCGAGCAATGGATATCAGGGGGTCTGGGGAGGCTTCACTGATAGCTGGGGTTTCTGGACGGGGTCCACACCCAATACCTGCAGATCTCAGCCAATAACTGGGGGTCCACATCTGGTCGGGGGTCTGAAGGGGCCTAACCAACACGTGGAGGGGCCTAGCTGATAACTGGGGGTCTCAGAGCCCCCTCCCCTCAGAGCAATGGATATCTGGGGAGGCCTAACAGATACCTGGGGATCTGGATGGGATCCACACACAATACCTGCAGGTCTCAAACAATATTTGGGGGTCCTCATTTCGTACCTGGGGGGTCTGGAGGGGCCTAACTGATAGCTGGGGGTCTCAAAGCCCCCTCCCCTCAGAGCAACACGTATCTGGGGGTCTGGATGGGGTCCATACACAATACCTGCAAGTCTCAGCCAATAACTGGGGGGTCCATATCTCCTACCTGGGGGGTCTGGAGGGGCCTAACTGATACCTGGGGGGGCTGGGGGAGCCTAGCTGACACCTGCATGTCTCAGAGCCCCCTCCCCTCAGAGCAATGCATACCTGGGGGTCTGGGGAGGCCTAACTGATAGCTGGGGTTCTGGATGGGATCCACACACAATGCCTGCATGTCTCAGCCAATAACTGGGGGTCCTCATTTCGTATCTGGGGGGTTTGGTGGGGCCTAACCGATACCTGGGGGAGCCTAGCTGATACCTGGAGCCCCCCCCTCCCCTCACAACAACAGATATCAGGGGGTCTGGGGTGGCCTAACTGATACGTGGGGGCCTGGAGGGGGTCCACATGCAATACCTGCAGGTCTCAGCCAATAATTGGGAGTCCACATCTGGTCCCTGGAGGGTTTAGTGGGGCCTAACCAACAGGTGGGGGGCCTAGCTGATACCTGGGGTTCTCAGAGCAATGGATATCAGGGAGTCTGGGGCGGCCTAATAGCTGGGGGCCTGGATGGGGTCCATATGCAATCCCTGCAGGTCTCAGCCAATAATGGGGGTCTTCATTTCATACCTGGGAGGTCTGGTAGGGCCTAACCGATAGCTGCAAGTCACGGAGCCCCCTCCCCTCAAAGCCCCCTCCCCACAAAGCATCGTTACCTGCAGTGAAGGCAGAGTGCAGAGCGTAGAGGCGGGGGAATCTGTGCTGCAGGAGACGTTCGTAGCGGCTGCGGAGCCACCGAGCGCCCAGAGCCCAGCGGGAGCTCGCCTTGGTGGGCAGGGAGAGCACCGGGGGAGGCCTGAGGGGGAAGGAGGGGGTTAATGAGGTCAATTAGGCATCTATTAATGAGGTTTCTCGGCTCTGCTCCTTCCGAGGAGAGTCGCAGTCTGATATTCAGGATTATGGAGAGATGTGTGGATTGCAAAATGGGGGTCCCAGGGGGTCTACAGCTAGGGGCTGGGGGGGTCCACACACAATACCTGCAGGTCTCAGCCAATAACTGGGGGTCCCCATCTGGTACTTGGGGGGCCAAGTGAATCTGGGAGCTCTTAAGGGGATCCACAGGCGACACCTGGAGGACTCAGCCAATAACTGGAGATCTAAATCTGCTACGTGAGGGGTCCGAGGGGGGTCCACAGCCCCTGCCTGGAGATCTCAGCCAATACTGGGGGTCTGGAGGGGCAGAAGAGAGCGGGGGAGGGGATAAGGGGAGGGGTTGCATGGCCTCTACCCAGGAGCTCTGTGCCTGGGACAGGGGGTCCGGGGGGCCACTATCGTGGGACCTGGAGGGGTCTATGGGTGACAGCACTGCGGCGCTGAGGGCGGCACCGGGAGTGCGCGCGGCGGCCCGCGACCACCGGAGGTGGGGGGAGAAGAAAAATCTCAGAAAGCCCCACAACCGCTCCAGGCGTCCCTGTGGGCTGCGGGCCCGGCCTGGGGAGCGACCGTGGAGCTCCACGTTCGGTCACGGCGCTCCGCAGCTAGAGGGGAGGCCCACACCCCACGCCCGACCTCGCAGCCGCCCCCGGCTCGGCCCCGCTCACCTCAACGCCGTCAGGAGGGGCGGAACGGGACCCCACAGCCGCTCCGCCCCGCACCGGCCCATCCTGCACAGCGCCATCTTGGCGGGGGGGGGGGGGGGGGGGGGGAGGCGGGGCATGTGACCGGAAGAGGAAACGGTTGCGGGATGAGGGCGGAAGTGGCAATGGGAGGCATGGCGGCCTCCATCTTAGAATGGGGCCCCGAACGGAGTGGTTCTTTGGACGGAGCTCACAGCAGAGCGCGGCCTCATCTCCCGCCGCGTGTGGATCAGCGCTGCTCAGAGCCCCCGTCTCCTTTTCTCCCCCAGGGGAAAAGTCTCATGGCCTTCCGCCCGTCCCCACCACGAGGGGCTCTGGGCCCCCACAGCTCTGCACCCCCCGCGGGGCTCCCAGCACCTCTCAGTCTGCCCCGAAGTGGGGAGAGAGCCCAGCACTGGGCCCAGTGCTCCGGATTTGGCTCCCCAGTGCAGAGCAGAGCGGGGAGCTCCTCCCTGCCCTGCTGGCTGCGCTTTGTGCAGTGCCTCACAGGGAACCATTGGCCAGCAAGGCACACTGCTGGCTCACAAACACCCTGTGCTCAACTCTTGATCAACCTGTTGGCCACCATTGGTTCATGAGGTCACACTGCTGGCTCATTGTCACCCTTTTTGTCAATCACTGACCAACCAGGACCCTATTGGCCCTCTTGCTCACCAAGTCACACTGCTGGCTCATTGTCACCCTTTTGGCCAACCATTGGACATCTGGACCCCACTGACCCTCTTGGTCACCAGGTCACACTGCTGGCTCATTGTCACTCTTTCGGATCAACCAGGACCCTATTGGCCCTCTTGGCCACGAAGGCACATTGTCACCCTCCCTGCCACCAAGTCGCACTGCTGGCTCATGGTGAACCAGCAGTCAGCCACGACGCCATGATGCTTTAAGCCACCATGATGCACCATTGCCTCATGACCTCATTCTCCACCAGCCTCCCCTGGCCCCCCCGCTCCCCTTCCAGCCCCACCCTGCCCCACATCGCCGCTCCCCACCTGATGCCAACCCAGTCCAGCACATGGGGACAGTCACGCACTCCGCTCCCCATACGTGTCCACCGCCTGCAGGCGTGCATTCAACTCTCCTTTATCAAACGGCACCGCGGCCTTTCGGCCCGTCCCGGAGCCGGGGGTTATCAGCCCCACAGCCGTGGGGTTCGGGTCGCCGATAGCCGCCCCATTGATCCCGATAAGGCATTATCAGTGCCGCATGCAGCGGTGCCCGTTTGGGGTAATCGGGTAACAGTGCGGAGGAGCAGAGTCCAGACCCTGCGCTAATTACGGCTGCACTGTTAATGAGGACAGCGGCGATAAGGGGCCAGGAGCCATCGGGACGCACATCAAAGCTGTTCGGGGGGCAGCAGGTGGCCCTGTGCTCCACTGGGGACTCTGCCCACGGGTGGGGACAGCACTTATAGGGCGGTGGGGACAGCGGGGACACGGAGCACCATGGCTGGGGAGCAGAGCACGGAGCCCCGCGGCACCCCGGAGATGGGTGAGGGCCCCGTGCTGCCGGCTGGGCGTTTGGGGGAACGGTTTTGGGGGATTTGGGCATTTTTGGGAGGATGCTCTTCGGCTCTTTTTTTTTTTTTTTTTTTTTTTTTTTTCTGGGGGTGGCGGAGTTCTCCGGTGTGAACTTCTCAGGAAGTGTCAGCCACAGTTCAGCGGGAGGCACTGAGGTGACGGAAAACCAATGTTTTCTTGGTGGAAAAGGGCCGGAATTGTCGCAGAACCCCCAAAAAAGGCATTTTGCCCCAATAGAACCGCGCTGCGCGGCGGCCAGACGCTGCTCCGGGCGAACTCCCGAGCGGTCCCGAGCCGAGCGGCGCCGAACGGACTCGAGCGGTCCCGGGCCGAGAGGTGCTGGGCGCTCCCGAACCGAGCGAGCCCGAGTGAACCCGAGTGGGTCTGAACGGACCAGAGCTCTACCGAGCCGAGTGGTGCCGAACGGACCCGAACTGTCCCGAGCCGAGAGGCGCTAAGTGAACCCGAGTGGGTCCGAACGGACCCGAACGGTCCCGAGCCGAGATGTGCCGAACTCTCCCGAGCCGAGCGGCGCCGAAGGGACTTGAGCGATCTTGAGCCGAACGGCTCCGAACGGATCCGAGCGCTCCCGAGCCTAGCGGCGCTGAGTGAACCCGAGCGGGTCCGAAAGGACCCGAGCGATGCCGAGCGCTCCCTAATGGAGTTCCGGTATCCGAAGTGCTCCGAGCGCTTCCGAGCGCAGTCGGGCCGGCGCGGAGAATGTGGCGGCGGCGGCGTTGGGCGGGAGCGGGGGCGGCGGTGAGCGGACATGGGGGGGGACAGCGGGGGGGTCCCGAAGGGCTGTGGGGTGGCGGGGGTTGAGAGGGGGCGGCACCGGGGGTCCGTGAGGATGTTGTGGAGGGGCGGGGGGCTCCGCGGGGGGTCGTTAAGAGGGCGGGGGGTCCCGGGGGCTACGGGGCTCCGTGCGGTGCCGCGGGACTCGGTGTTCTCCGTGTGGGGACAGAAGGAAGCCGCTGCCCTCAGACGCCCTGCACTCCCTGCCCGACCGCCACCCCAGCGGCTCCGCCACCCCTACAGAGCCGCCACCCCGATGTATCCGTGACCCCGGTGTCACCCACAGCCCCGACGTCTCTGTGATCCCAATTGGCACCACGACCCCAATGGCACCCTGACCCCTCTATAGCCGTGACCCCAATGTCAGCCACAACCCTGATGTCACTGTGACCCCAATAGCACCCAATGGCACCACGACCCCTATATAGCTGTGACCCCAATGTAGCCATGACCCCGATGTCACCCACAGCCCCGATGTCTCTGTGACCCCCATTTATCTGTGACCTTGATGTTACAGTGACCTTGATGGCACCGTGACCCCAAAATCACTGATCCCAATGTCACCGTGACCTCAGTGCCACTGCGACACAGACATCACTGTGACCCCGATGTCACCGTGGCCCTGATGTCACCAGGACCCCAATGCTACTGTGAGCCCAATGTCACCACGACCCCAATTTCACCATGACCCCGATGTCACCATGACCCCAATGTTACCGTGATCCCAATGTCACCATGACCCCGATGTCACCATGACCACAGTGTCCCTGCCACCCCAACATCACCATGACCCCAATGTTACTGTGAGCCTGCTGTCACCATGATCCCAACGTCACCATGACCCCAATGTTAACGTGATCCCAGTGTCACCGTGACCATAGTGTCCCTGCCACCCCAGCACCACCACGACCCCCTGTCACCACGACACACACTGCAGCCCCCCAACATTCTCCCCATGCTCAGCATTTTGGGCTGTGCCAGGAGAGCTGGCTGCGCCAGGGGCAGGAAGGAAGCGCTGACATCAAAGCCCAGCACGCAGCCCTGCTGCATCAATGCCTGGAATTGTTCTCACTGGGCTCCCTCCCAGTGTTCCTCCCCCGGGGCCCGGAGCACTCGTGATGGGTGGTGACACTGACAAGTGGCCCGCGGGGCTGAGAGCCATCAGGAAACACAGGGAATGTGAGGATCAGGGGCTGAGCTGTGGGAAAGGAGCTGTGGGGAGGAGGGCGTAGGGGTCCTGGTGGCCAACAGGGGGACTGTGAGACAGAAGTGTGCTTTGGTGGTCACAAAGGCTGGTGATGGCCAATGGGTTGACCAGGGGTTGACCAACAGGGTGACCAAGGGGTGAACAGAAGTTGACCGTGAGGCAGCAGTGTGTCCTGATGGTCACAAAGGCCAGTGGTGGTCAACAGGTTGAACAACAGGGTGACCAGGAGGCAGCAATGTGTCCTGGTGGCCACAAGGGCCAGTGGTGGCCGATGGGTTGACCAAGGGTTGACCAAGAGCGTGACCAAGGGGTGAATAGAAGTTGACCGTGAGGCAGCAGTGTACCCTGATGGTCACAAAGGCCAGTGGTGGCCAATGGTGAGCAGCAGGGTGACTGTGAGCCAGCAGGTGAGCCTTGGTGGCCACAAAGACCAGTGGTGGGCAAAGAGTTGGCCAGTAGGGTGACTGTGAGGCAGCAGCGTGCCCTGATGGCCATGAAGGCCAGTGGTGGCCAATGGACTGACAACAGGGTGACCATGAGGCAGCAGTGAGCCTTGGTGGCCACAAAGACCAGTGGTGGGCAAAGAGTTGGCCAATACGGTGACCATCAGGCAGCAGTGTGCCCTGATGGCCATGAAGGCCAGTGGTGGTCGACAGGGTGACCAACAGGGTGACCAAGAGTTGACCAGAAGTTGACTGAGGCAGCAGTGTGATCTGATGACCACGATGGCCAATGGTTCCCTGGGGGGACACTGCATAGAACGCAGCCGGAGACACTGGGAAGCAGTGGGAGGCACTGGGAGACACTGGGGGGCACTGGGAAGCAGTGGGGACACTGGGAGGTACTGGGAAGGCACTGGAGGGCACTGGGAAGCATTGAGGGCCAATGGGAGGCATTGGGAAGCAGTGGGAACCACTAGGAGCACTGGGAGGTACTGGAGAGCACTGGGAAGCAATGAGAGTCACTGGGGGCATTGAGGAGCACTGGGAAGCACTTGGGGACACTGGGAGGCACTGGGGGGCAATGAGTGGCAATGAGAAGCAGTAGGGGGCAATGGGAGGCACTTGGAAGCACTGGAGGGCACTGGGATGCAATGGGAGGCAATGGGAAGCACTGGGGGGCAATGGAGGGCACTGGAAAGCACTGGGGGGCAATGGGGGCACTGGGAGACAATGAGAGGCAATGGGAGGTAATGAGAAGCACTGGGGGGCAATGGGAGGCACTGGAAGACAATGAAAGGCAATGGGGGGACACTGTGGGGGGCAATGGGAAGCACTGGGAAGCACTGTGGGGGGCACTGGGGGGCAGTGGAGGACAATGAGAGGCAATGGGAGGCACTGGGGGCAATGGGGGGCAATGGGAAGCACTGGGGGGCAAAGGGAGGCACTGGAAAGCACTGGGGGGCAATGGGGGGCACTGGGAGACAATGAGAGGCAATGGGAGGTAATGAGAAGCATTGGGGGGCAATGGGGGACACAGGGAAGCAGTGGGGACAATGGAGGGCACCGGGCGGCTCTGTGCCCCGCAGGCTGGGGCTGCGGTGGCCGCTGGCATCCCGGCTGCATTCCGTGGTGCAGCCGAGGCCCCGGGGCTGTTTGCTGAGCCGCAATCAGCGGCGCTCCCAGTGCACTTCATCCCGCCCGAGGTCAGCGCCGTGTTTGCACTGATGGGCGGCGGTGCCGTCCTGCCTTCCTGCCCTGAGCAGCCTGGGAGTCGTCTTCACGCACCTCTTAATTGGTTCCGATCTCTGGGTTTGTTAATTACCGGTGGAGATGGCGTTAATTACCGGTGGATGTTTTGCCATCAGTTTTTAACATGGGCTGCAGGGACGCCGCTGCTGTGGGCTGCTGTGCTGGGGGTGGACGGCGGCGGCAGTGGTGGAGGTGTTGGTTGTAGTGTTGGTTGTAGTGTTGGTTGTAGTGTTGGATATGCAGTGTTGGTCACAGCATGGTCGCAGTGTTGTTGGTGGTGTTGGTTATGGTGTTGATGGAGATGCTGGATGTGGTGTTGGTGGTGGTGTTGGTCACAGTGTTGGTGGTGGTGTTGGTGGAGCTGCTGGACGTGTTGTCGCAGTGTTGGTCATTGTGTTGGTTGAGGTGTTGGTGGAGGGGTTGTTCACAGTGTTGGTCACAGTGTTGTTGGCAGCGTTGGTTGTGTTGGTGGAGGTGTTGGATGTGGTGTTGGTGGCAGTGCTGGTTGCAATGTTGATTGTGGTGTTGGTCGCGGTGTTGGCAGCGTTGGTTGTAGTGTTGGTTGTGGTGTTGGCAGTGTTGGTTGCAGTGTTGGTTGCAGTGTTGGTTGTGGTGTTGGCGGTGTTGTTGGCGGTGTTGGCAGCGTTGGTTGCAGTGTTGGTTGCAGTGTTGGTCGCGGTGTTGGCGGTGTTGGTCGTGCTGTTGTTGGCAGCGTTGGTCTCCCGCTGCGGCGCTGCCCTCCTGGCGCAGCCCCACGTGCCCCATAAGGGTGCGGTGTTTTGCACGGCAGCAAATTGCAGCCCTGCTTTCACAACCTCGTACCACAGCCAGGTGCTGCTCCCCGCCCCCCACTGCCCCATAACCCCCCTCCTCCCCCCGCTGCCCCATAACCGATCTTCCCCCTCTCACTGCAGCCAACGGAACCCCTTTAGAGCCCGTCCCGGGCCCAGAGCAGCGCTCAGCCATGGGGCCGCCCTACAGCAACCTCAGAGCATCCGGCGGTGAGTGGAGCTCAGCCTGAGATCGTCCAGGGGGGAGAAATGGGGCTCTGCCCCACAGTACTGCACACAGCTCTGCCCCACAGCTCTGCCCCACGTCTCTGCCCCATGTATCTGCCCCACAGCTCTGCCCCACAGTTCTGCCCCACAGCTCTCTTTGCCCCACATCTCTGCCCATGTCTTTGCCCCATGTCTCTCTCTACCCCACGTCTGCCCCACAGCTCTGCCCCATGTTTCTGCTCCATATATCTGTCCCACAGCTCTGCCCTGTTTCTATGCCTCACGTCTCTGTCCCATCTCTGCCCCATATCTCTACCCCACAGCTCTGCCCTACATATCTGTCCCACAGCTCTGCCCTGTTTCTCTCTGCCCCACATCTCTGCCCATGTCTCTACCTCTACCCCCCATGTCTTTCTCTACCCCAAGTCTGCTCCACAGCTCTGCCCCACGTTTCTGCTCCATATATCTGTCCCACAGCTCTGCCCTGTTTCTCTCTGCCTCATGTCTCTGTCCCGTGTCTGTCCCACATCTCTGCCCCACAGCTCTGCCCTATTTCTCTCTGCCCCACAAGTCACGGGGGGGGGAGCGCAGCCCACCCATCCCTGCCAGACCAGCCGGACCGGCTCCTCTGTGACCCCGTTGTGCAAATCTCTGGGCGGTGGATGGAGGTGGGGGGGGGTGGAGGGAAGAGGTTTGGAGCGGGCGGAGCGCTGCCGCTGCGATGATGCAAGAGCGGAATGGCAAAGCGCTCCGTGCCGCTCCGCCGCTCACAGCGCGATGGCGGAGAGCAGTGAGTGGTGGTGGGGGGGGGGAGTTGGGGGGGGTTTTAGGGGTCCCGATCCGCCCCACCACCGCTCTCCGTGCCGCCCTCACTCCGTCCGTCCTCTCTGTGTCCCCTCCCGCAGAGGACGGCCCCGCCGAGAGCATCGGCTCCGTGTCGGGCAGCAGGAATGCGCTGCAGCCGCTGCAGGGGGAGGAGGATGAACCTTTCACCACTTACTTCGACAGCAAAATCCCCATCCCCGAGGATGAGACGGTGGGTGCGCGGCCCCCCAAACCCCCCCCAGCACCCAGGGTGGGGTCCGTGCTGCTCCTGAGGGTCCGATCTGCGCTGCTCCTGGGGGTCTGAGCTCTTCTTGGGTGGCTGTGCTGCTCCCAGGGTCCCTGGTGCTTGCGGGGGTCTTCACTGCTCCCGGGGGTCGACAGTGTTTCTGGGGGTCCTCATTGCTCCTGGGGGTCCGTGCTGCTCCCAGGGTGCAGGGACCCCCACCCTGAGGGTCCAGGGTGGTTCCCCAGAGGTGTGCGCTGTTTCTGGGGGTCTGTGCTCCTCCTGGGGGTCCATGGTGCTCCCTGAGGTCTGCGCTGCTCTCAGGGGTCTGTGCTCTTCCCAGGGCTCCACAGAGTTCCTAGAGACCTCTGGTGCTCTCAGGGATCTGTGCTGCTCCTGGGGTCCTCATTGCTCCTGGGGGTCAGCAGGGCTCCTGGGAGTCCATGCTGTTCATTCAGGTCCATGGTGCTCCTGGGAGTCTGTGCTGCTTCCAGGGGGTCTGCAGCAGTCCTGGGGGTCTACAGTGCTCCCAGGGGTCCGTGGTTCTGTGCTCCTGGGGGTCCTCATTGCTCCTGGGGGTCTGTGCTGCTCCCAGGGGTCCATGCTGTTCTTGGGTGTCCACAGTGCTCCCAGGGCTCCGTGGTGCCCCTGGGGGTCTGTGGTGCCCCTGGGGCTGAGGGCCACCCCTCCTTGCACAGCACTCGTGCTTCAGTTTCCGAAAGCTGTGGGCATTCACCGGGCCGGGCTTCCTGATGAGCATCGCTTACCTCGACCCCGGCAACATCGAGTCCGACCTGCAGTCTGGAGCTGTGGCGGGGTTCAAGGTCTGAATGGGGGAAGGGTGTGGGGGGGGGGGCTGGAGAGGGGGCAGGAGGACTTCGGTAAGGGGAGGAGGAGTTGGGGTCAGGGGAGGAGGGTTTGGGGCAGGGGCAGAAGGGTTTGGGGTCAAGGCAGAGAGGTTTGGGGTCAGGGGAGGAGGGTTTGGGATCAGGGCAGAAAGGTTTGAGGTTGGTGCAGAAAAGTTTGAAGTCAAGGGAGGAGGTGTTGAGGTCAAGGCAGAGAGGTTTGGGGTGAGGACAGAAAGGTTTGGGGTCAGGGGAGGAGGGTTTGGGTCGAGGCAGAGAGGTTTGGGGCTGGGAGTGGAGGGTTTGGGATAGGAGCAGAAAGGTTGGGTGTCAGGGGAGGAAGGTTTGGGGTGAGAGCAAAAAGGGTCAGCATAGAAGGGTTTAGGGTTAGAGCAGAAAAGTTAGGGTTGCGGTAAAAGGGTTTAAAGTTGGTGAAGGTTTGGGGTGAGGGCTGGAAGATTTGGGATGAGGGTAGGAGGGTTTGGGGCAGGGCAGAAATGTTAGGATCAGGGTAGGAGGGTTTTGAGGCTGGGGGTTGGAGTTCAGGGCTGGGGGATTTGGGGTTGGGGCAGAAAGATTTAGGGTCGGGGTAGAAGGGTTTAAGGGCAGGGCAGGAGGGTTTGGGGTTGGGGCAAGAGGGTTTAGGGTTAGGTTGGAAAGGTTTAGGGTCAGGGTAGAAAGATTTAGGGTCAGGGCAGGTGGGTTTATGGTTAGGGTAGAAGGGTTTGGGGTCTGGGCAAGAAAGGAAGAGACAGGATAGGAAGTTTTGGGGTCAGGACAGAAAAGGTAGAGTCAGGGCAGGAGTATTTAGGGTCAGGGCAGAAAGGGCTAGGGATGAGGCAGGAGAATTTGGGGTAGGGCAGGAGGATTTAGGGTCAGGGCAGAAAGGTTTGGGTCAGGGTAGAAAACTTTGGGGTTGGGATGGGAGGGTTAGGGTTGGGGAAGAAGGGTTTAGGATCAGGATTGAAAGATTTGGGGTCGGGGTGGAGAGATTTAAGGGCAGGGCAGAAGGGGTTAGGGAGGGGGCAGGAAAGTATGGGGTCAGGGCAGGAGGGTTTGGGGTTAAGAAAGAAGGCTTTAAGGTTGGGGCAGGTGGAGGGGTAGGGACAGGGCAGGAGGATTTAGGGTCAAGATCCAAAGGTTGGGCTTGGGAGAGGAGGACACAGGGTTGGGATAGAAGGGTTTAAGGTTGGGGAGGGTTTGGGGTCAGGGCAGGAAGGTTTAGGGTCGGTTTGGAAAGGTTTGGGGTCAGGGTAGAAAGATTTAGGGTCAGGGCAGGAGGGTTTATGGTTGGGGTAGAAGGGTTTGGGGTCAGGGCAAGGGGACAGGAGGGGTTGGGGTTGGGATGGGCAGGATGCAGGGTGCGGAGCAGCGCAGAGCTGCGCTGGTGGGGCGTCCTGTGATCCGTGAGGAGCTCAGCCGTTTCTGCTGTGATCCATGGCTGCACTGAGCTCCGCCACTTCTGCTCCCTGGTCCCCGGGCGGCACTCAGCGCTTCGCCCCCCTCCTGTCCCTGCAGCTGCTCTGGGTGCTGCTGTTGGCCACGGTGATCGGGCTGCTGCTGCAGCGCCTGGCGGCACGGCTCGGCGTGGTGACAGGGCTGCACCTGGCTGAGGTCTGCCATCGCCAGTACCACAGGGTGAGTGGGGAGGGGGGGTGGGGGGCACTGGCTGCAGGGCTCTGATCACGGCCCACCCCCCTCCTCCCCTTCCCCAGACCTGCAGGGCGCTGCTCACAGCCCATCCCTTGTCTCCCTCCCCCCCCCCATGGCTACAGGGCACCCCTCGCTGCCCGCTCTTCACCACACCTCCCATCTCATGGCTGCATGCCACTGCTCACTGCCCACCCCTCTTTTTCTCCCCCTCCCCATGGCTGCAGGGCTCTGCTCACAACCCACCCCATGTGCTCCCCCTCACCAGAACTGCATGGCACCACTCACAGCTCAGCCCTCATCTCCCCCTCCCCATGGCTTCATGGCCACTCACCTAACCCTAACCCTAACCCTAACCCTAACCCTAACCCTAACCCTAACCCTAACCCTAACCCTAACCCTAACCCTAACTCTAACCCTCACCCACCTAACCCACCCCTCATCTTCCCACCCTCCCCATGGCTGCATGGCACCACTCTACTCCCACCCCTCACCTTCTCCCCCTCTCCACAACTGCAGGGCACTGCTCACAGCCCAGCCTTCATGTTCCCCCATCTCACAGCTGCATGGCACCTCTCATAGCCCACCCTTCGCCATCTCCTCCCCGCCATGGCTGCATGGCACCCCCTACTGCCCACCCCTCACCTTCTCCTCCCCCCCATGGCTGCATGGCATCTCTAGCAGCTCACCTCTCTCCTCCTCCTCCCCGTGACTTCAGGGTGCTGCTCACAGCCCACTCTTCATCTTCCCCCCCCTCCCCATGGCTGCAGGGCCCCCCCGCTGCCCACCCCTCACCATCTCCTCCCCGCCAAGGCTGCATGGCTCCGCACAGAGCCCACCCCTCTCAGAATCACAGAATCACAGAGTGGCCAGAGTTGGAAGGGACCTCAAGGATCATGAAGCTCCAACCTGCCACACGCAGGGCCACCAACCTCCCCATTTCATATTGGACCCTCTCCCCTTCTCCCCTTCCCCAGGTCTGCAGGGCGCTGCTCATGGCCCATCCCTCATGTTCTCCCCCTCCCCACGGCTGCATGGATTCACTCCCAGCCCACCCCTCCTTCTCCCCCTTCCCAGGGCTGCGTGGCACCATTCACAGCCTGCCCTCCACCATCCCCCCACCCCAGTGCTTCATGGCACAGCTCACCCCTCTCCCCCCACCTGCTCCTCCTCAGCAGTGTTTTTTTCCCCCTGTCCCCCCCCAGGTGCCTCGGATCATCCTGTGGCTGATGGTGGAGCTCGCCATCATCGGCTCTGACATGCAGGAGGTCATTGGCTCAGCCATCGCCATCAACCTGCTGTCAGTGGGGAAGTGAGTAATGGGGGGGGGTCCTCATTGTGGGGGGGGAGATGGGGCCGATTCTGGGGGGTTTGGCACCTCTGTTGACACCCACACCCACCCTCAGGATCCCACTGTGGGGCGGAGTGCTCATCACCATCGCCGACACCTTCGTCTTCCTCTTCCTGGATAAATACGGTTAGTGGGGGCTGGGGGGGGGATACTGGGGTGTGGTGGGAGGTAGTGGGGTGTGGGGTGGATAGTGGGGGCTGGGGGTGGAGACTGGGGTCAGAGGGTGGAAACTGGGGCGTGGGGGTGGATGCTGGGGTCTGGTGGGGGATGTTAAGGTCTGGGGTGGATAATGGGGTCTGGGAGTGGATGGGGGGGTCTGGTGGGGAATACTGGGGTCTGGGGGTGGATAATGGGGTCTGAGGATGGATACTGGAGTATGGGGATGGATACTTGGGTATGGGGGGGATGCCGGCATCTGGTGTTGGATACTTGGGTATGGGGGGGATGCCGGCATCTGGTGTTGGATACTGGGGTCTGGGGATGGGGGTCTGAGAATGGATATTGGGGTCTGGTGGGGGATGCTGGGTTCTGGGAGTGAATATGGGGTCTGGGGATGGGAGATGCTGGGGTCTGGGAGTGGATTCTGGGGTCTGGAAGTGGATGCTGGGGTTGGGTGGTGGGTGCCATGGCGTTGTGGTGGATGCTGGGGTCTGGAGGTGGGTCCAGCAGTGAGCAGCACACTGAGCCTGGTGCTGCCCCTGCAGGTTTGAGGAAGCTGGAGGCGTTCTTTGGTTTCCTGATCACCATCATGGCGCTGACCTTCGGATATGAGGTACTGCATGCTGCTGGGGAGGCAGGGCGTGCTGTGCAGCCACAGAGCCCAAACCGAGCTGGGATGGGAGAGCACAGCATGGAGAGTCCCTGCATCACAAAGGGGGGTCTGCTGTGCGGAGCTGGGCAGGGCTGGCGACAGGACTGAGAAAAGGGGTGGGCACAGAGCTGGGAACAGAGGTGGGGACAGAGGTGGGGACAGAGGTGGGGACAGGGGTGGGGACAGAGCTGGGGACAGAGGTGGGGACAGGTGGGCACAGAGGCAGGGACAGAGCTGGGAACAGAGCTGAGCACAGAGCTGAGCACAGAGCTGAGCCCAGCGTTGCTTTTTTCCCTCAGTATGTGACGGTGAAGCCGAACCAGAAGCAGGTGCTGCAGGGGCTGTTTGTCCCTGGGTGCCGGGGCTGCGGCACCCCACAGCTGGAGCAGGCTGTGGGCATCGTGGGGGCCGTCATCATGCCCCACAACATGTACCTGCACTCTGCCCTGGTCAAGGTGAGCCCGGCAATAAGCAGCCCTGCAATAAGCAGCCCTGCAATAAGCAGCTGTGCTGCAGCAGGGTTGGAAGCTCACAGCCGTGAGCTCTGCAGGTCAGCGCTGTGCAGCATCTCCCCATGGTGCTGGGGTCCGTGCAGGCAAAGCTGCAGCTGCACCCAGCAGCGACCTCATGCGTGGGGGCAGGGCTCACTGTGCACCCCCTCTCTGTGCGCCCTCATTGTGCTCCCCCACGCTTTGCACCCTCACACACCACCCACTTTGCACCCCCACACTTTGCACCCCCACACTTTGCACCCTCACAGCTCACTCCGTGCACCCTCATTCTGCACCCCCACTCTGTGCACCCTCATTCTGTGCAAACCCTCTCTGTGCACCCCCACACTTTGCACCCCCCACATGCACCTCCACCCTGTTCACCCCCCCACACACAGTGCACTCACTCTGTGCACCCTCATTGTGCCCCCTCCACACTTTGCACCCTCACAGCTCACTCTGCACCCTCATTCTGCACCCCCACGCCCTGCACCCCGACACTTTGCACCCCCCCTCTGTGCACCTTCATTGTGCACCCCCACTCTGTGCACCACCCTCTCTGTGCTCCCCTTACACTTGGCACCCTCACACTTTGCACCCTCACAGCTCACTCTGTGCACCCTCATTCTGCACCCCCTCCCTGTGCACCCCCACACTTTGCACCCCCCCCCCGCGCACCCTCATTCCATCCAAACATTCTCTGTGCCCCCTCACACTTGCAACCCCCTTCTGTGCACCTCCACCCTGTGCACCGCCCCACTTTGCACCCTCACACAGCACCCACCATGCGCCCGTCTTTGTGCCCCCCACACTTTGCACCCCCCACTCTGTGCACCACCACGATGCACCCCCCCGTGTGCATTCACATTGTGCGTCCCCCACTTTGCACCCTCACACAGCACCCCCAAACTTTGCACCCCCACTCTGTAGCCCCCCGTGTGCAACTCACACTCTGTTCATCCCCCACTTTGCACCCTCATTGTGCACCCCCTCACCCTGCACCCCCTGACCCTGCGCCCCCACGCCCTGCACTCTCCCCCTCTGTGCACCCATGGGTGCATTCCCGTTGCCCCCCCCTTGCAGTCCCGCCAGGTGAATCGCTCCAACCCACGGGAAGTGCGTGAGGCCAACAAATACTTCTTTGCTGAGTCGTGCATTGCGCTCTTCGTCTCCTTCATCATCAACGTCTTCGTCGTCTCTGTCTTCGCCGAGGCTTTCTATGGGAAAACCAACATGGATGTGGTGAGTTGGGGGCCGGGGGAGGGGATCTGGGGGGGGGGAGGGAGGCACTGGGCTGAGCTGGGAGGGCAGAGCGGGGTTCTCGATGCCCCCCAGCAGCGCTTGGAGTCTCATTGCAGCACGAGGTTTGTGCCAACACCAGCAGTGCCCACACAGGGCTGTTCCCGAGCGACAACACCACGCTGGAGGTGGACATCTACAAAGGGGTGAGGAGCTCTGATAGCACTGCTGATAACGGGCTGTGCTGCTGATAACAGCCCCCAGCTCTGATAGCACAGCCCCCAGTTCTGATAACAGCCCGCAGTTCTGATAACAGCCCCCAGCTCTGATAGCACAACCCCCCAGTTCTGATAACAGCCCCCAGTTCCGATAACAGCCCCCAGCTCTGATAGCACAACCCCCCAGTTCTGATAACAGCCCCCAGTTCTGATAACAGCCCCCAGCTCTGATAGCACAGCCCCCAGTTCTGATAACAGCCCGCAGTTCTGATAACAGCCCCCAGCTCTGATAGCACAGCCGCAGCTCTGATAGCTGCAAGGCTCTTTGAAGATCACAGGACTGTGGGATGGTTGGGTTGGATGGGTGCTAAAAGATTGAAGAGCCATGGGATTGTTGGGATGGCAGTGTCCTTAAAGGTCGTTGAACGATGGGGTAGTTGGGTTGGAAGGGGCCTGAAAGATCACAGCACTGTGAGGTGGTTGGGTTTGGATGGTCCTTACAGATCATAGAGCCATAGGATGGTTGGAATGGGAGGGTCCTTAAAGATCACAGAACCATGGGGTGGTTGGGATGGAAGGGTCCTGGAAGGCCACGTGTCAGTGGCGTCCATCTGTCTGTCTGTTGCAGGGCGCAGTGCTGGGCTGTTACTTTGGCCCAGCTGCTCTCTACATTTGGGCCATTGGGATCCTGGCGGCTGGGCAGAGCTCCACCATGACCGGGACGTACTCAGGGCAGTTCGTCATGGAGGTGCTGCCCTCTGCTTTCCTCCCCCTTCACTTCTGCTTTTCCCTCTGAACCTTTTCCTCTCTTTTTCTCCTCTCTCTGTCCTGGAGCGTCTCCTTTCCACTCTGCTTCTCTTCTGCTCTTTTTTCTTATTTACATTATTTTTCTCCCTCTGCTCTTCTCCTCCTTCATCTGCCCAAATTCCTTCCTCTTCTGCTGCTCTTTAGCTCTTCTATCTGTTTCTCCTCACACTCCTCTCAGCTCTCCTCCTCTTCTGGTTTACTTTTCTCTCCTCATCTTCCATTCTGCTCCTCTTCTCTCATTGCTGCATCCTTTCTTTTCCCCTCCTGCTCTTCTCCTTCACCTGCCCCACACGTCCTCCTGTGCTGCTCTCCTCCTCCTCTTCTGTCTTCTCTCTTCTCCTCTTTCTGGCTCATTTCCTTTCTTTTCCTTTTCTGTTCTCCTCCTTCACTTACACATCTTCCTCTGCTGCTCTTCTTTCTTATCTTCTCACCTTCCTATCGTCTCTTCCCCTCCTCTTCTTTATTTCCTTTATCCTCTTTTTTCCTTCTGCTCCTTGGTCTTTCCTGCTTCCTCTCTCCTCTTCCTCTCCTCTCTGGGTTGTATCCCTTCTTTTCCCCTCCTGCTCTCCTCTCTCACCTGCCCCATGTGTGTCCTCCTCTGCTGCTCTTCTGCTCTCCTCTCTCTGTATCTCCTCATCTTCCTCTCAGCTCTCCTTCCCTTCTTTCTTCCCCTCTCCTCTTCCACTCTGCTCCTCTTTTGTCTTTCCTGTATCCTCTCTTCTCCTTTTCTCCTCCTCTTTCTGGGTTATTTCCTTTCTTTTCTCCTTCACTTGCCCTACTGTGTTCTGCTCTGCAGCTCCTCTTTCTTACCTTTATCTCCCCAGCCTCCTATCACCTCTTCCCCTTCTATCCTGTATTTCCTTTATCCTCTTTCCCTCTTCTGCTCCTTGGTCTCTCCTTTATCCTCTCCTCTTCTCTCTGGCTTGTGTCCCTTCTTTTCCTCTTCCTTGTGTGTCCTCCTCTGCTGCTTTTCTGCTCTCCTCTCTCTCTGTATCTCCTCGTCTTCCTCTCAGCTCTCCTCCTCTCTCACTCTATTCCTATATAACGGTTGCATGCCTTCTTTTCCTCTTCTGCTCCCTGGCCTTTCCTGTATCCTCTCCTCTTCTTCTCTCTGGTTGTATCCCTTCATTTTCCCCTTCTGCTCTTCTCCTCCTTCACCCGCCCCACGTGTGTCCTCTTCTGCTGCTCTTCTGCTCTTCTCTCTATCTGCATCTTCTCATCCTCCTCTCAGTTCTCCTTCTCTTTTATCTCACTTCTGTCTTCTCCTCTTCCACTCCTCTCCTGCCTTTCCTGCACCCTCTTCTCTCTTCTGCTCTCCAGCCTTACCTCCAAGCTCTCTTCTCCCCTCATGCTCCCCTCTGCTCACCGTTCCCCATCTCCCCACATCTCCTCTGCCCCCTTGCCCCCATCGCCCCCCTTTGCCCCCCATCACCCCCATCATCACCACCCTTCTCCTTCCTCAGGGTTTCCTCAACCTGCGCTGGTCGCGCTTTGCCCGTGTGCTGCTGACGCGCTCCATCGCCATCACCCCCACCCTCTTTGTGGCCATCTTCCAGGACGTGGAGCACCTGACGGGGATGAACGACTTCCTCAATGTGCTCATGAGCCTGCAGGTGGGCTGGGGGCTCTGCAACGCATCCACAGAGTCACAGAACGGTTGGGTTGGGAGGGAGCTCAAGGATCACGGAGCTCCAACCCCCCGCCACACGCAGGGCCACCAACCTCCACGTTTCACAGCAGCCCAGGCTGCCCAGGGCCCCATCCAGCCTGGCCTCCAACCCCTCCAGGGATGGACGGGGCATCGCAGCCTCTCTGGGCAGCTGTTCAGCCCCTCACCACTCTCACAGCACACAACTTCCCTGACATCCAACCTCCATCTGCCCTCCCTCAACTTCATTTCCCCTCGTCCTGCTGCCATCTCCCCTTGCACAGAGCTGCCTCCCCTCCTGGCTGCAGGCTCCCTTCAGGCACTGCAGGCTGCACTGAGCTCACCCCCAGCCTTCTCTTCTCCATGCTGAATGAGCACAGAACTTCCCTGCCATTCAAATTTCCCCCTGACATCCCATTGCTTCCTTTGGGATTCCTTCCTGCAGAGTGGGGCACGTGGGGGAAGGCTGCCCCAATCCCAGCTTCTATCAGTGGGGCAGGAGGGGGGGGGTTGGCTGCCTCTGGTCTGTCCCTGTGGGAGCCGACAGGGGTCTGCTTGTCACCTGGCAGTTATGGGACACAAAAGGGAATGGCTGTGATGTGGAGGAGGGGACAGGAAGGCGTTGTCACCCAGACGTGGAGTGATGGGACAAGGGGGAATGGATGCAGTGTGGAAGAGGGGACAGGAATCCATTCGTCAGCTGGATGCACAGCGATGGGATGATGGGGACCAGCTGCAGTGCAGAGCAGGGGACAGGAGCCCATTGGTCACCTGGACACAGAGTGATGTGGGATTGTTGGGATGGCAGTGTCCTTAAAGGTCGTTGAACGATGGGGTAGTTGGGTTGGAAGGGGCCTGAAAGATCACAGCACCGTGAGGTGGTTGGGTTTGGATGGTCCTTGCAGATCATAGAGCCATAGGATGGTTGGAATGGAAAGGTCCTGGAAGGTCACAGAGCCACGGGATGGTTGGGATGGAAGGGTCCTGGAAGGTGACGTGTCAGTGGCCTTCATCTGTCTGTCTGTTGCAGGGCTGTAGCGTGGAGGAGGGGGTGGGAATCTGCTTGTCAGCCAGACATGGGGTGAGATGAGACGAAGGGGAGCAGCTGTAATGCAAAGGAGGGGACAGGAACCAGCAAATCTGAGTGCACTGAGATGGGAGAAGGGGCAGAAGCTGTAACGTGGAGCAGGGGACAGGAGAGCGCTTGTCTCCTGGCTGCACAGTGATGGGATGAGAGGAGCGACTGTCATGCAGGGGGGGTGGGAATCCACTCGTCATCCTGACCCTGAGCGATGGGGGGGGGGGGATGGCTGAGCCACAAAGAAGGGGAGACTGTGGTGGATCTGCACAGGGTGCTGGCAGCACGACGGGGCTCTGGCAGTGTGGGCGTCAGCTCCCTGTGCCGGGATGGAGCTCCGTGGTCACCACGTCCCTCAGCCCAACCCTCTCCGCTCCATGGCCCCACACTTTTCCCATAGGGGCGAAATCCCTTTCTCTGCATCACAGCACCCTCAGTGGTTGCATGGACTCCCCTCCTCACCCCTCCTCCTTCCATTTCAGCTCCCGTTTGCCCTCATCCCAGTGCTGACCTTCACCAGTCTGCCCAGCGTCATGAACGACTTTGCCAACGGGCTGTGAGTACGATGAAGGGGTGGCTGGGGGGTCCGGAGGGGCCCAAAAGGGGGGAGGGGGGAGGGAAGGGGGGTTCTGTGCTCAGCTCATGCCGCCGGCAGGTTCTGGAAGATTGGCGGCGGCGCCGTCATCCTGCTGGTGTGCAGCATCAACATGTACTTCGTGGTGGCCTACGTGATGGCGCTGAACCACGTGGGGCTCTACGTCGGCGCGGCCATCCTCAGCGTTGTCTACCTGGCCTTTGTCGCGTACCTGGTGAGCGGGTCCTGCAAGATTGTAGAACTGAGGGGTGGTTGGGTTGGGAGGGTCCTGACAGGTTGGAGAGCCGTGGGGTGGTTGGGTTGAGAAGGTCCTGAAAGGTCAAAGAGCCATGGGTGGTTGGGATCGAAGGGTCCTTGAAGGTCAGAGAACCACAGGATGATTGTGCTTGGGGGTCCTGCATGGGGGGCAGGAAGCAACATGGGGGGGCAGGAAGGAGCACATTTGGGGCAGGAAGGAGCACATGTGGGGCAGGGAGCAACACGTGGGGCAGGAAGGAGGATATATGGGGCAGGAAGGGGCATGTGTAGAGCAGGAAGGAGTGCATGGGGCAGGAAGGAGTGCATGTGGGGCAGGAAGGAGTGCATGTGGGGCAGGAAGGAGCACACGTGGGGCAGGAAGGAGCACACGTGGGGCAGGAGGGATGTGAGGCTCCGTCCTGCTGTCGTTGCAGACCTGGCTGTGTCTGATCGCGCTGGGGGCCTCGGCGCTGTCCTGCGGCAGCACGGTAAGCGTCACGCGCAGCCTGCTGCCCGAGCCCAGCCCTGCGCACGGCGGCAAGTAGCGCCCGCAGCGCGCGTGTGCGAGTGTGACAGCACGGGTCTGCGTGTGTGTGTGAGCTGTGTGTGTGTGAGCCCTGTGTGTGTGCATCCCAATGTGTCCCCATGGGTGCACATCCCTGTGTGTGTGTGCGTGCCCCCATGTGCCCATCTATGTTTGCACACCTGTGTATGTGTGCATCCCTGTGTGCGTTCCCCCTCTGTGTGTGTCATCGTGTGTGTACATTCCTGAGTGTGTGTGTGTGTCTGTGTGTGTGTGTGCGCCCTCCCCGGGCACTGAGCACCACCAACAACGTTTGCACACACAAACCAACGCGTGACACTGAACTGTGGCACTGCTGTGCGGCGCCGACATGGCGGGGTGACAACACTGCGTTGGTTGTGACAACATGAGGTTGGGTGTGACGACAACAACACTACATGGGGTGTGACAACAACAACACTACGTTGAGTGTGACAACAACAACACTACGTGGCGTATGACAACAACACTACATCGGGTGCGACAACAACAACACTACGCCGGGTGTGACAACGCTGCATCAGGTGTGACAACACTACGTGGGCTGTGACGACACTCCATCGGGTTTAACAACGCTGCATCGGGTGTGACAACACTATGTTGAGTGTGACAACGCTACATGGGCTGTGACAGTGCTGCGCCGGGTGTGACAGCGCTCCATCAGGTGTAATAATGCTGTGTCGGGTGTGACAACACTCCATCAGGTGTGACAACACTACCTCAGGTGCACCAACGCTGTGTTGGGTGTGACAGCACTGCGTTGGCTGTAACAGCGCTCCATCGGGTGCGACAGCACTGCGTCGGGTTTGATGAGACTCCGTCGGGTGTAACGATGCTACGTCGGGTGTGACAACACCGCGTCGGTTGTAACAACACTCCTTTGGGTGTAACGAGTCTGCATCGGGTGTGACGACGCTGTGTTGGGTGTAACAACGCTCCATCAGCTCTAACAGTGCCACGTTGGGTGTGATTACAGTGCGTCAGGTGTGACGGTTCTACATGGGGTGTGAGCACACTGCGTGGGGTGTGACAACACTGTGTTGGGTGTAACTGTGTGAGGTTGGGGGTGACGGTGCCTCATGGGGTGTGAGAACACTGTGGGGTGTGGCAGAACCACATTGGGTGTGACAGTGCTGCGCTGGGTGTGACAACGCTGCATAGGGTGTAGCGGCACTGTGTTGGGTGTGACAACACTATGTTTGGTGTAACAGTGCCACGTTGGGTGTAATGGCACCATGTTGGGTGTAACAACGATATGTTGGGGGTGACAACACTACAGTGGGTGTAACATCACCATGTTGGGTGTAACAACAATATGTTGGGGGTGACAACACTACAGTGGGTGTAACATCACCATGTTGGGTGTAACAACAATATGTTGGGGGTGACAAAACTACGTCGGGTGTAACAATGCTATGTTGGGTGTGAAAACCCCACGTTGGGTGTAATGGTGCTACACTGGGGGTTGACAGCAACAACAGTGACAACAGTGCTCTGGGATTAACGCATGGAGTGTAATGAGACCATGTTGGGTGCAGCAGTGCTGCATTGGGTGTGACAATGCTGTGTCAGGTGTGGAAACATCACAGTGGGTGTAACAGTGCTGTGCTGGGAGTGACAACACCGTGCTGGGTGGGACAAGCCTCCATTGGGTGTGACAACACTACGTTGGGGGTGTTGGGTGGGAGAACACCATGCTGGGTGTGACAATGCTACTCAGAGTGTAACGGCGCTGTGTTGGGTGCAGCAGTGCTGTATTGGGGGTGACAGCAACATGTTGGGTGTAACAGTGCTGTGTTGGGTGTGACAGTCCTACACTGGGTGTAACAACGGTGTAACAATGCTACGTGGAGCGAGACAACACTGCCCTGGGTGCACTGGCGCCGTGTCAGGTGTGGCAGCACTGCTGTGTCGGGTGTAACAGTGCTACACTGAGTGTAACTGTGACAGCGCCGTGTGGGGTGTAACGATGATATGCTGGGTGTGACAACAGAACGTCGGGTGTAACGGCGCCCTGTTGGGTGTAACAGCGCTGTGTTGGATGCGCCGACACTGTGTTGGGTGCGACAAACCTCCGCTGGGTGCAACAGTGCTGCGTCAGGTGTGGCGCCGTGACACTTTGTCAGGTGTAGCAGTGCTGCACTGGGCGTGACAACATTGTGCTGAGTGTGACAACACTGCGTCGCGTGTGACAACGCTGTGCCACGTGCGGCAGTCCTGCATTGGGTGTAGCAATGGTGCCTCGGGTGTGACAACACCGTGTGGGGTGTGGTGACAGCATGCTGGGTGTAACAGTGCTACATTGGGTGTAACAACTCTGCATTGGGTGTGACAGTGCTATGTTGGGTGTGACAGCACTGCATGAGGTGTAATGACACTGTGTTGGGTGCAGCAGTGCTGCGTTGGGTGCGCCAACACTGTGTTGGTGTGACAATGCTGCATTGGGTGTGATGACACCATGTTGGGTGTAACAGTGCTACATTGGGTGTAACAATGCTACATTGGGTGTAACAGTGCGATGTCGGGTGTGAAAACCCCACGTTGGGTGTAACGGTGCTACATTGGGGGTTGGCAGCAACCCATTGGGTGTGACAACAGTGCTCTGGGTGTGACAACACTACACTGGGATTGACAACGCCTGGAGTGTAATGACGCCGTGTTGGGTGCAACAGTGCTGCGTTGGGTGTGGAAACCCCACAGTGGGTGTAACAGTGCTGTGCTGGGTGTGATAACGCCGTGCTGGGTAGGACAAACCTCCATTGGGTGTGACAACACTGTGTTGGGTGTGACAGCATCACATTGGATGTGACAGCGTTGTGTTGGCTGTGACAACCCCATGTTGGGTGTAAGAACACTGCACTGTTTAACGGTGCTCCATGGGGTGTGACAACACCGGGTTGGGTGTGACAAGGTTACATCGGCTGTGATGATGCTATGTTGGGTGTGACAACGCTGCATTGGGGGTTACAGTGCCACATTGGGTGTGACAACACCATGGTGGGTGTGATGACACCATGTTGAGTGTGATAGCAACACTGCGCTGGGTGTAACAGTGCCACGTTGGGTGTGACAGCACCACACTGAGTGTGACAACAAGACATTGGGTGTGACAACACCATGTTGAGTGTGACAGCAACGCATTGGGTGTGACAACACTGCGTTGGGTGCAACAGTGCCACGTTGGGTGTGACAACACACACACACACAGATTTGGGGCAAGGCGCGCAGCTCGGTGCCGCTGTTGCTCTGGTCCCATTTTTTGGGGCAGTGCTGATGGTCTCCCCTTCCCCCCCCCACAGCGCTGCTGGGCCTTCGCTGCACGCCCGGAGCTCTTCCTCCTCAACAACATCGGCGTGGAGGCGGCGGTGACGCGGTGATGTGGAATGGGAGCTGGAGATGGGAGCAGCGCCACCACGGAACCGGGATGGAAACAAACGGCGTTGGGATGGCACCAAAATGGCACCAGAATAACACAGGGGTGGCGCTGGGATGGAACCAGAATGGCGTTGGGGTGGCACCATGATGATGTTGGGATGGCATTGGGGTGGCACTAGAATGGCTTTGGGACGGAACTGGGATGGCATGGGGATGGTATTGGAATGGCACCAGAATGGCACCAAAATGGGACCAGAATAACACAGGGATGGCACTGGGGTGGCACCACAATGGCGTTGGGGTGGCATTGGGATGATATTGGGATGGCACCAGAATTGTGTTGGGGTGGCATTGGAATGGAACCAGAATGGCGTTGGGATGGAACTGGGATGGCATCAAAATCGGACCAGAGTAACACAGGGATGGCACTGGGATGGAACCTGAATGGCGTTGGGGTGGCACTGCGATAACATTGAGATGGCACCAGAATTGTGTTGGGGTGGCATTGGGATGGCACCAAAGTGGTACCAGAATAACACAGGGGCAGCACTGGGATGGAACCAGAATGATGTTGGGACAGAACTGGGATGGCATTGGGTTGGCACCATGATGATGTTGGGATGGAACTGGGGTGGCACCAGAATAACACAGGGGTGGCATTGGGATGGAACCAGAATGGTGTTGGGATGGAACTGGGATGGCATTGGGGTGGTATTGGGATGGCACCAGAATGGCACCAAAATGGGATCAAAATGGTGCCAGAATACAGGGATGGCACTGGAGTGGCACAGCTACGGCAATGGGATGGAACTGGGACCAGAATAACACTGGGATGGCACTGGGATGGAACCAGAATGGCGTTGGGTTGGCATTGGAGTGACACTATGATGATGTTGGGATGGAACTGGGATGGCACCAGAATGGAACCAGAATAACACAGGGTGGCACTGGAGTGGCACCACAGTGGCGTTGGGGTGGCATTGGGATGATATTGGGATGGCACCAGCGCTGCATTGGGGTGGCACTGGGATGGCACCAAAATGGAGCCAGAATAACACAGGGATGGCATTGGGGTGGCACCACAATGGTGATGGGATGGAACTGGGATGGCACCAAAACGGCACCGAAACGGGATCAAAATGGTGCCAGGATGACACAGGGATGGCATTGGGGTGGCACCATGGTGACATTGGGGTGGCACTGGGGTGGCAACAAAACAGAACCAAAATGGGAGCACAATGACACAGGAATGGCACTGGGATGGCATTGGGGTGGGACTGAGATGGCACCAAAATGGGACCAAAATGGCACAAGAATAACAGGGATGGCATTGGGGTGGCACCAGAATAACACTGGGCTGGCACTGGGATGGCATGTCTCCATGTGTCCCTGGGGTGTCCCCAACACATCCTCCATGTGTCTGCAATGTGTCCCTGATGGGTCCCCAAAAAGTCCCCATCGTGTCCTCAATGTGTCGCTAACATGGCCCTGGTGTCCCCAATATGTGCCCCATATGTCCCCAACGTGTCCCCATCACATTGTCAGTGTGTCCCCAACATGTCCCCAATGTGTCCTCCTGTGTGTTCCCAACATGTCCCCAGTGTGTCCCCACTGTGTTCCCATGTCCCCTGTGTGTCCTCACTGTGTTCCCAATGTGTCCCCAGCATATCCTCACCGTGTCCCCAGTGTGCCGTCACTGTTTCCCCAGTGTGTCCTCAGTGTGTCTCCAACATATCCCCAATGTGTCCTCCTGTGTGTCCCCAACATGTCTCCAGTGTGTCCCTGCTGGATCCCCAGCATGTCCCCAATGTGTCCCCTGTGTGTCCTCAATGTGCCCCCGATGTGTCCCCAGTGCAACATCAGTGTGTCCCCAGCATGTCCCTGTTGTGTCCCCAACATATCCTCAGTGTGTCCCCAGTGTGTCCTCAACGTGTCCCCAACATGTCCCCCATGTATCCCTGATGTGTCCCCAGTGTGTCCCCAACATATCCTCAGTGTGTCCTTGATGGATCCCCAGCATGTCCCCAGCGTGTCCCACTGTGTCCCCAGCGTGTCCTCAATGTGTCCCCAATGTGTCCCCAACATACCCTCAGTGTGTCCCCAGTGTGTTCCCAGCATGTCCACCATGTGTTCCTGATGGGTCCCCAATATGTCCCCATCCATGTCTCCAGTGTGTCCCCATCATCCTCTGTGTGTCCACATGTCCCCAATGTGTCCCCAGTGTGTTCCCAATGTGCCCCCATCACGTCCTCTGTGTGTCCCCAACATGTCCCCAATGTGTAATCAATCAATGTGTCCCCAACCTGTCCCCAGTGTGTCTCTCATGGATCCCTTGAATGTCCCCAATGTGTCCCCTGTGTGTCCTTAATGTGTTCCCAATGTGTCCCCAATGCATCATCAGTGTGTCCCCAGCTTGTCCCTGTTGTGTCCCCACCATATCCCCCATGTGTCCCTGATGAGTCCCCAATATGTCCCCAATGTGTCCCCAGCATGTCCTCATGTGTCCCTGATGGATCCCCAGCATGTCCCCAGTGTGTCCCCCATGTGTTCCCATCGTGTCCCCTGTGTGTCCTCAGTGTGTCCCCAACATGTCCCCCACGCATCATCATGTCCCCAACCTGTCCCCAGTGTATCCCCATTGTGTCCCCAACCTGTCCCCAGTGTGTCCCGAAGTCCCCAGTCAATGCAGTTGTTCCTTTCCCGATTAGTTTGGCCTTCATTTGGTTCATTTCACTCTTGGTTAATTACCATGCTGGGGTCATGCAGTGTTCCTTGTGTTCGGTCTCTAATTACAGCGCTGCACTCGTTAAATCTCTCATTAAGTCTGTTGCCAAGCACGGCTTTTGGTGCCCACGTGTTCAGTGCCATGGGGTGGGGATCTATAGGGCAGGGATTGTATGGGGCAGGGATCTATGGGATGGAGATCCCAATGGGATGGATGCTAATGGGATCTATGGGGTGGAGATCCATCTATGGGATGGATGCTAATGGGATCTATGGGGTGGAGATCCATCTATGGGATGGATGCTAATGGGATCTATGGGATGGAGATCCATCTATGGGATGGATGCTAATGGGATCTATGGGGTGGAGATCCATCTATGGGATGGATGCTAATGGGATCTATGGGGTGGAGATCCATCTATGGGATGGATGCTAATGGGATCTATGGGATGGAGATCCATCTATGGGATGGATGCTAATGGGATCTATGGGATGGAGATCCATCTATGGGTTGGATGCTAATGGGATCTATGGGGTGGAGATCCATCTATGGGATGGATGCTAATGGGATCTATGGGGTGGAGATCCATCTATGGGATGGATGCTAATGGGATCTATGGGGTGGAGATCCATCTATGGGATGGATGCTAATGGGATCTATGGGGTGGAGATCAATCTATGGGATGGATGCTAATGGGATCTATGGGATGGAGATCCATCTATGGGATGGATGCTAATGGGATCTATGGGATGGAGATCCATCTATGGGTTGGATGCTAATGGGATCTGTGGGGTGGAGATCCATCTATGGGATGGATGCTAATGGGATCTATGGGGTGGAGATCCATCTATGGGATGGATGCTAATGGGATCTATGGGGTGGAGATCCATCTATGGGATGGATGCTGCTGCCGGAGGACGATGGGAGGGATGCCGCCTGCGTGAGGTGTGAGCAGGTGGACGAGCTGCTCAGCCTTGTGGTGGAGCTTAGGGAGGAGGTGGAGAGGTTAAGATCCATTAGGGACTGTGAGAGGGAGATAGATGGGTGGTGTAACTCTGCGAGAAGCAAGCAGAGATTGCAGCCCCCAGCCTGTAGTGGACTCTCTCCCTTGCTGTGGTCAAACCGAGAGAGCTGACTTGAGGGGAGAGGAGAAATGGCAGCAGGTCCCACCTCAGCGATGCAGGCGGCGCCCTTCCCGACCTACCTTAGTTTCTCAGGTGCCTCTAAGTAATTTTGAAACCCTGGAACTGGAGGGCGAGGAGGCTGAGAATGAGGTGGTGGAACAGGCACCGAGATTTCCTAAGGAGAGGCGGTCGGCTCCACACTTGAAGACCGCCTCTTCTGGTAAAGAAAGGAGGGCGACCATTGTAGGAGATTCCCTTCTACAAGGAACTGAGGGCCCGAGATGTCGACCTGCCCCCACCCGGAGGGAAGTGTGCTGCCTCCCTGGGGCACGGGTCAGGGACATCTCTCGAAAGCTGCCTGGGCTTATTCGCCCATCTGACTGCTACCCCTTATTGGCAGTTCAGTTGGCAGTGATGATGCTGCCAAGAGAAGCCTACGGGCTATCAAGGATGACTTCAAGGGCCTGGGGAGGGTACTGGATGGTGCAGGAGTGCAGGTGGTCTTCTCTTCTATCCCTTCAGTGGCGGGGAAGGACACTGAGAGGATCCAAAAAACCCTCCTCATCAATAAATGGCTTAGAGGCTGGTGCAGGTTTTTTGACCATGGGGCAATTTACTCGGCTCCTGGCATGACGGCTGCAGATGAAGCTCACCTGTCTGCAAGGGGTGAAAGGATCCTAGCCCAGGAGCTGGCGGGCCTCATCGAAAGGTCTTTAAACTAGGAAAGAACGGGGAAGGGGACAAAATGAGGGCTGCTGGGGTTCAGGTAGTTCGAGGTTCAAAAGAGAACTTGATGGGTGATGAGGGTGGAGTTTGAAGGGATGGAGTGTGGCAGGGGAATGCTGCTTCCCTGAAGTGTCCATACAGTAATGCGCGCAGTATGGGAAATAAACAGCAAGAGCTGGAGTTCTGCGTGCGGTCGCATGGCTACAATCTCACTGCGATCAAGGAGACGTGGTGGGACGGCTGGCATGACTGCAATGGAGGGCTGTGAGCTTCGAAAGATCGGCCGGCGAGGCGGGGTGGTGGAGTTGCTCTATGTGAGCGCAGCTAGAATGTATTGAACTGCACCTGGGGGAGAGTGGTGCAGCTGCAGAGAGCTTGTGGGTGAGAATCAAGGGGAGGGCTGGTATGGCTGACACTGCTGTGGGTGTGTGCTGCAGGCCCCCCGATCAGGAGGAGGTTGATGAGGCCTTCCACCAGCAACTGGAACGGGGGTGTGCTGGTAACGGGGGATGCTGAGAAGGCGGAGATACTGAATGCCTTCTTTGCTTCTGTCTTCAGTGAAAAAGCTCCCCCTTGGGAATCTGAGACCCTGGAGGTGAGTGAGAGGGTCTGGGGAATGGAAGACCTCCCTTCTGTCAGGGAAGAGGTGGTCCAGGAGCGCCCAGGCAGCACCAATGTTCACCAATCCATGGGACCTGATGGGATGCATCCACGGGAGCTGAGGGAGCTGGCAGAGGTGATTGCTGAGCCGCTTTTGGTCATCTTTGGGAGGTGTTGGAGGACGGGGGAGGTGCCTGAAGAGTGGAGGAGAGCCACTGTCACTGCGGTCTTCAAAAAGGGCAAGAAAGAAGAGCCAGGCAGTTATGGGCCAGTCAGCCTCACCTCTGTCCCTGGAAAGGTGATGGAACAGCTGTGCTGGATGCCATCTCCAGACAACTGAAGAAAAGGAGGTGATCAGGGGCAGTCAGCATGGGTTCACCAGGGGGAGGTCGTGCTCCACCAACCTGGTGGCCTTCTATGATGTTGTCTCTGGCTGGGTGGATGGGGGGAGAGCAGTGGATGTGGCCTACCTTGATTTCAGCAAGGCTTTTGATGCTGTCCCCCACCACATCCTTGTAACAAAGCTGTGGGACAGACGAGTGGACAATGAGGTGCGTTGAGAACTGGCTGAGTGGCAGAGCGCAGAGGGTCGTCGTTGGCGGTGCAGAGTCTGGCTGGAGGCCTGTAACCAGTGGTGTCCCACATGGGTCGGTGCTGGGTCCGGTCTTGTTCAACATCTTCATCAATGACCTTGATGAGGGGATGGTGGCCACCCTCAGCAAGTTTGCTGATGATACAAAGTTGGGAGGATTGGCTGACAGCCTGAAGGCCGTGCTGCCATTCAGCAAGACCTGGACAGGCTGCAGAGCTGGGCAGAAAAAAACCAGATGAGGTTTAACAGAAGCAAGTGTAGAGTCTTGCATCTGGGGAGGAATAATTGCATGCACCAGTACAGGTTAGGGGGTGAGCTGCTGGAGGGGAGCTCTGCGGAGAGGGACCTGGGTGTCCTGGTGGACGACTGGTGGTCGGCCATGAGCCAGCAGTGTGCCCTTGTGGCCAAAAAGGCCAATGGCATCCTGGGGTGCATTGCACAGAGCGTGGCCAGCAGGTCGAGGGAGGCAATCCTCCCCCTCTGCTCTGCCCTGCTGAGGCCTCATCTGGAGCACTGCGTCCAGTTCTGGGCTCCCCAGTACAAAACGGAGATCTCTTGGAAAGAGTACAGCGGAGAAGATGAAGCTGACATGCTGGCATCACCTCGTGTCCCCTTGATGCCACCATGTCCCCTTCTGAAATGGCAGGAGATTGGAGACCTCCAGACCCTGCAGGGAGGTGACAGGGTTCACCCCCAGGCCCCCTGCCACAGAACCACGCAGTGTGGTTCTGGAGCAGTCCTGTTGCGTCCTACCACAGAGCAGGGGCTCCTGGAGTCACTGAGGGGACACTGAGGTGTCTTGAGGGGCTGCCGGGGGGGCAAGACGGAAGGGGTGGAGCCAGAGCTCCAGGCTGCAGGTCTCTGGGGGGTGACTGCAAACCCAGGGATCCAACCCCTATGGAGTCCCCTCACGTTGCCCCAGGACCTCTCAACCCCTCCAAAATCCCCCAGTGCCAGTGGGAACTCCAGCCTCAACGGGACTCCCCATTTCTTCCCAAATATAATAAAGCCCCTGGAAGAAAGACAGGACCCCTGGGAATGCACACACCTCCCAGCCCTTGTTAGGACTCTCCCCATTGAAACAGGAGCCCAGAGAGCCCCACAACCCAACGGGACCCCCAGCCACAATGGGACTCCCCAGTCCTCCCAAGACCAGTAAGATCCCCTCCAACAAATCGTATAGGAGACCCTGGAGTCCCCGGAGTCCCCAGCCCCAATGAGAGACCTCCTAACCCTCCCACCACCAAGACCATCATCTCCCCCCAAAGTCAGGACCTCTAGGAGCCCCTAACCCCAATGGGATGCCCCCATAATCTCACTCTTTTGGGGCCCCGCATTACTCCTGTGTTCTCCTGCTGTCCCTTGGTGGTTTTGGTGCACCCAGCGTCCCCCCCGTTCTCCCCTCCCTGGTGGTTCTGTGCCCCCAAGTCCCCTCGGTCCCTGTCCAAGTGGCTCTGGGGGCCCCTGGGCCGCCCTCAGTGTCCCCCTTTGTTCCCTCCCCAGTCGCTCTGGGTTCCCAGTGCAGAAGTCATCACTGAAAAATCACAGTTGCGTGTCTGCATCTGCAACTTCGGCTGGAAGTCCTAGGGCTTTCTCACACCTCGATTAGAAAGGAAACAAAAGCAGGAAAAAGACACTGCAAGTTGAGTGGTGCTGAGGCAGCAATGACTGAAAAGGCAGAGCCCTGTACAGCATCCCCCAGGGAGGGACGCCTGGCAAGAGATCAAATCCCTGCATCTCGCTCTGCAGGTCATCAGCGCGGTGACTCGTCATGCTAGAAAGGGGTGGGGAAAGGGGGACAAGTTGTTCTTCCCACACGCACAGTAGAAGACTGTAACTTTGGCTAAAACA